TGTAACCTACTGAATTATTTACTCTATTCAGAACAAAGCAAAATGTAGAAGTGAAGTAAAAGAAACTTATATACATGTCTAGGCCAAATGATCAGAGCATTTAACCTTGAAAAAGCCTCTGCAATAAAACAATTACTTATTACTCAATGCAATAGAGCTTTTTCTTAGTCTATTAATGTATCAAGCAGTACCTCTAACTAGTTGTTTGAACACAGATCCACCTAACTCTGCACAAACACCAAGGCCATAAAGCAGCCTGTGAGAATGTGAGAGAATAGCAACAAACAATCAAAGAGATAAGCTTACACCATAAAAGTAGTATTCAAAATGCTAACCACCAAAGATAGCCTCATCTTGACCTGTCTGACTTCAGAATTCTCATCATTACAAGATTCAGATGTGTATCATACAACCTACTCAATTAGCATATAAAAAAAGCTGATAAACACATGCCTTCATAATTATCAGTTCATACTGAAAAAGAAAGCTCTACAAGAACAATGGGATTTTACTTGACAGCAACTTCACGACACTGCTCTACAACATCATCAACAATACAAATCGCTGTCCTTTCTTCAGAAGTCTTGTCCCTTTCCTGTATCCAAAACATTAAACAAAAAATCAAAAGGCATGACGTAAGTTATTGAAAATCAGGCTTAAAGTTAATCAGAGAAGCACAAAGCCTGTAAGAAATCTAGACATAATAGAATAATGTGGTTCAAATAACAGAATGTGACTAAATCTTAGAACTTATCATTTAATGAAAGAGAGATGCTGCTAACTTCAAAACCAGAACAAAACTAAATAGGGTGGTGATACAAAAACATCTCCCATCTTTACCTCAACCTCCATCGAACAACAACCAAATAATACTTTTATATCAAAATGTGTTGGAATTGTTGGGTCTATCCAGCAGGTTTATTAGAAAACACAAACACCAATAATATTTGAATTCAATCTCTTTATTCAAAATCTTAAAACAATGGATTAATAGATATTTTGATTTATTTAATTGAGTTATTTTTATTTACAATTTGTTCTTGTTCATGAATTCAAATCACTTTTTAATTTTTGTGTTTGTTCTTATCATATTTGGTGGAGTAGTTTTTGAGATGGATTTACCTGATTGCTAGTGTGTCACCAAGTTTTGAATAACCACGAGTGAAAAGTTTATTTGTATAGATTTTTTTACATTCAAGTTAGAAAGAGACTAATGCTTTAAGTTGAAAAAAGATACAAAATAAATAAATATATATAAAAGTAAAATTATTAGCAAATTCCTATATTTTCTTTGATTGCGTGTATTTATAACTTCTTGAACTATAAACAAGTATATTAAACAAATTTTATTACTTAAAAATAACCAAATATTATATCTTGAAAATATTATATCAATAATATCTTAGAAATATTAAATAATAAATTATTACTATAACATATTAGAAATATGACAAAAATGATAATCAATTATTATATCATAAAATTTTAATAATAAATATTTTAGAAATATTTTATAATATCTTGAAAATATAACATAATCTTATAAAAAATATTATATTATAAATATTTAAAAAATAATACATAATTTTTATTTTCTAAATATCTCTTGATAGGTAATGACAACTCAAAATCTTTGAGCGAACTATGATTGTGTTTTCTTGTATCATAAATTTTACTATTATTTAATCTCTGTATGATCACGGATCAAGATTATTTCGCTTTTCTGATATCTTTTTGACAAACAAAATAGAATAAAAACATAAACCATAATTTAAAATTGAATTGTTCAGAATGGGACAGAATTTTAAAATACTTGCAATATTTTTGTCATTTCATACTTCTATATAGCTTTTTGCTTCTACTTTATTTGCCAAAAGAATAAACATGACAGGAGAAGAATCACCGCCATTTTGTAATTCTTCCACTTAACTGTACGACTTAATTTTTATTTTGAATAAAATGCACTACTTTTTGTTTTGGTGAAGAATAATAGTCAAGTCTAATTTATATATTTATGTTCTACTCAGTTTAGTTTGATATGTTTACCTTTACATTATTCTAGTCATATTTTATGCATATCATTAAAATGACTTAAAAATGAACAAAGCATATGATGTATTAATACATTCCGATATAACTTAAAGTAATATAATAGATAACTCAAAACAAAAAGGATATATAAGCAAAAAAGTTTGTGTAGTTAAAGATAGACTTGATCCTATGATTTGTTTTTAAACAAAGTATTATTAATTTCTTTTATAATGCATATTTCCATAACTTTATCAAGAACATTTCTACATTGTAGTGCTCTTAACTAGAAAATATCCTTCATTGCTGATGATTGCCACACTTGGCACATAGCTTCTAAGGGAAACTTCCTTCCTACAGTGATTCCTTTTCCTTCAATCAGATCAATTTCTTCATCACTGCTTCGTTTCCACTCAAAACATTGAATCAACAAAGCCAAAGTTAAGCTCACTGTGCGTTGAGCTAAGTTTGATCCAGGACAAGCCCTTCTCCCTAACCCAAAAGGAAGCAACTTGTTAACTTCACTTTCATTTTCAAACCTTTCAGGCTTAAAATGTGTTGGGTCATTCCACAAATTGGGATCTCTGTGAATAGCCCAAGCATTCACTAACAAAATTGTGTTCTGTGGAAGATTGTAATCTCCAATGGTGCAATCTTCGGAAGAGAAATGGGGTACCAACATTGGAGCAGCAGGATGCAGACGAAGTGTCTCATAAACAATGTTTTGAATATAAGGAAGTTTAGGAATGTCAACTTCATCTACTAGACGGTTCTGACCTATATGAGTGTCTAATTCCCTTTTTGCCTTTTTTAGCATCTCTGGATGGTTTAATAAATTACTCATTGCCCATTCCAAAGTTACAGCTGATGTGTCTGTTCCTGCCATTATTATAACCTGTAATGCACCAAATACAAAAAGTCTAGTAAATAATGAAACTAAAATACACAATTTCCAACTTCTAAAAAAAATAAAATAACACTTTAAATAATACCCTTCTATATTTCTTCAAAAACTTCAGTATAAACAAAATCAGTTTATTTCAAATTAATCAACAATGTTAAGTAGTTTTGTTTAGTTTTTGAATTTCATTTAAGAAAAATACAATTTTTAAATTATCTTTTACTCTCTAACAGTTCATTTCACAGATTTTGAGAAAGGAGTTAAGTACATGGTTGAACAACCGTTCACTGGACCAATGCGTGCTCACAAAAGAGTCAACATTCAGTCTGTTAAGACCACATGCACAACTGTCATCTTTAATGCTCCATGTATTATTTTTCATTCCAATTTTTGTTTCATGCATCATTCCATTCACATAACCAATCTCAAATCACGTGGACCTACAACACCATAATTATTCACGAACGCTAGAAAAGACTGACTTATCCAGATGCCAATAAGCAAAGCAATATTGAATACACTAGTTAGGCATTTACTTTACTTTTTTTAACTGTTTTAAACAACCCCAAATGATATAAGTAGATATAGTAATTACCAGGGCAAGTCCTTTGATGATCTCATCCGTGTAGTACTCGGGTTGTGATTGTTGTTGTGTTAAAAGATGATCAATCATAGTATTGGCGCTTTGTTTTCTGTTACGATTTTCATCGATGAGTCCTTGTAAAAAGGCATCGGTTCTCTTACTAATTCTCTTCAGCTTCTTCTCCAAATCATCAAAACGAAACCACCTCAGCAAAGCCAAGAAGTCTCCAGGATTATTTGCCCCTCCCACAGCCACCAACTCTTTAATAATCCCTCGAAATTGCCTTGCTTCTTCCACATCACTCACATCACAATCTTCACCGTAATATCTCTTCCCAGACACCATCCTCATTATAGTGTTAAAAGTCATTTCCGAAAAGCTTCAATAAATTATACAAACAATAATACAAAATTAAAAAAACTATGGAGTATAATCAAAACTTTGCTAACTACACTTTCAACAATTTCTACCTAACTTAATTCTACAGCCAAATTTACCTGGATTTGAGTTCCACTTTGGCGAAGCCGTTGCGCGAGTCGTGAGCGAGCTTTCGCACGAGCCTCATGATCTCGTCCCTTCGGATTTCCAAGAAGCAGTTCAAACGGTGCGTTGAGAGAACCTCGAGCGACATGATGCGGCGGAGGTTGCGCCAGTGGTCGCCGTAGGGCGACACCGCCACGGTGGTGTTGTTGTATCCTATGTACTTGCCGGCGAGGAAGCGAGGCCGATTCGCCAAGACGATGTCGTTTTTGGTGAAGCATTCCTGCGCTGCCTCGAGCGACGAAACGATCACGACGAAGCGCGAACCGAACCAGAGAGAGAAGACTTTGCCGTGTTTCTGAGAAAGGGCGTGGAAGGTGCGGTGGAGCGGCTGTCTCATCTGGTGGAGGTTTCCGATTATGGGGAAGGAGAAGGGCCCAGGAGGAAGGTTCCAGAACCTTCTTGTTTTGAAGAAGAAGTTCCAAGAGAAGAGAAGAACCATGAAAGTGAGAAAGAAGTGTAAAAGAGTGACCATGGTTGTTGAAGGTGGCTTGATAGTGTTGAGTTAAGAGGGTGTGTGGCCGATTCTTGTTTGCGTTAGTCTATATAAAGGATGTGAGAAGGGTTTGAAGACAAATCCACATGGGAGTTCGCGCTGGAAAGTTAGGCTGGGAAATATAGCTTACGTAATGGATGATTTCATACAACAGTTAGCATCATGCTTTACGAGAGCTGAAACTTCAAACTCTCTTGCACTACTTGACAACACCACCGCAAGACAACTCAGAAAAATACTTGCACTCAGTTCAACATTATTTCTCCTGTTCAATTTGAGTTTCGTCACGGGTATTTGGTTTACCAAGAAGACTTTTATATCGAGACTCCCAGTCATTAAGACAGATCTTTCTTACTGATGATGTTTGAAAAGAAATAATTCACAAATTTAAATATAAGCCAAACTCACAAACCCATTCATACACCACTCGATAATATATTTATGAGATTTTTTTCCTATAATATTTAACATTCTTATTTTTATTTAATACGACACTTAAATTCACGTTTATATAAATTTTTGAACAGTTTTATTATTTTTTTAAATGTGTTGTTTTGAATTTTACAAATACATGTATTCCTTAGAGCTCTGAACCAATTAGAGGTTACGTTGTACACTTCTTCATAATTTTAGTAAGCATGACCACTTCCTTTTTAATCGGTGCGGTTCATTAATTAGATTGTA